CTTGCTCGGGACTGTACTGGAAGCATATCGGCCCTCGGTCTTTTTTGTACGGACCTCGCTGCGCTCGGTCCGTACTGTCAAGACCTCGGGCCGATAATCTCCCAGTACGGCTCTCGCGCTTGGTTAATAAGATATATATATTTACCGAAAGCCACTTTTTACCTTGTCCCGTTCATCGTGGGAAGATTAGTCTTGCGATTCCGATTTCTACCGGAAAAAAGAGTCAAGATGGTGGCCCTGGGGATCTGTTGTTCCAGCCTAATGTGTTTGAAAGGTGAAAGTAAAAAAAAAATCTGTCGACCAATCAATCAATGAAATTCACTATTAATAGAGACTAGAGTTGTTGATGTGAATCCCCACAACTGCCTGTGTTCTTATGACAAGGTCTTTCCAGCGGGAACTTTATTAGATCGTTTGTATTTCATTTTAGGGCCAGGCATTTTTCTTGAACGACGGTCGTTCCGTGATGCCGTTGAACCACGCTCTGATGTGGGCCAAAGTGAACGTATTTTCCCTGTTTGGAAATGGAGTGCGCCTGGAACCTTTCTGATCAGGGACGCGCCCCACAATACTGGTGACAGGAACACCAGGCGAGTGGCTGTTTGCGTCGTTTTCCTCGTAGTTTATCATTTCTGACTTTATTTCTAATCTTTAGCCTTTAATATCTACCCGCATGTGAACGCTCTAAAGGAGAAATGTAATCAAATATTTTCGTAATAGGTGTACAAGTACTTAAACAAGTCATTGTTCGGGTATGATCATGACGTTATTTAGTGTGATTTTTTCTCTTCCTAATGGTACATTTTGATTGGTTTTGAACATGCACAAAAGCAGAAATCACCATTGACAATCAATGGCAAGCCAAAACAAGCTTCATATTTAACGAGGTTGTAGCCGTTCTATCGAGTTTAGGTTTTTTTCCAATTTTTTCATTCAAATTGTCTTCATTGTGCAGGTGTTTTCGTATCTTATGGTTGCTGGCCCAACGAAGTATATTTCAAAACCACATAGACTGAATGAGAATTTCAATTTTTCAAGTATGTGAGTGGAAAATGCGTTCTAAACAAATAATAAACATGCATACCACGATTTTAAATAGTATAGGATGTTACATTCGGTGTAGAGTGTAAGCTCTGTTAAGCGCTTCAACGCCTTTCTCGCTTATTCTCAAATAACATTTGAAAATGCTTTTGTTTATAAAACAGTTTTCAAAGTTTTGATTGCTCGAGAAACTTTGATTTTGCCTTAAACAGAAACCCCTTTCTCAGGACTCCTATTTCACCATCTTTGCTTGTCCCCCTCCTCGCCCCCCCCAGGCATGTAGGGACTAGTTGGAGCTAATAGTTTGTTCCGCACAAAAACTACATTCCTATCTTCTAATTGCTAAGTAATATAGGCAGTGTTATTCTCACTTTAAGTTATCTATCTAGGAAACATGGCCCGGACAACTTTAGCAAATATATTTTCGGGATTTTTTTTGTAAATTGAGGTAAGAGTGAAGAATTTACAACCAAGGAAAACATCTCCATTAGGTGCAAGATGATATTTATTCTTCGAGAGAGTTCAATTTTTTGCTAGAGTTATTTAAAGTTTTTGTATAACTGCCGGGTGTAATAGATAATAATTTATGGCTAATTAGGCATGTGTTTCTAATGACTCCAAGAACGAAATAAAGATCAGAGTTTTGATGTAAGATGTACTGTTATCGTTCTTTCGACTCAGAACTGTTGATATAATGCTAGAGAGGATTTTCCGTCGAATCCTTGATTTTCTATACCTTTCAAGGTGAGCGAATAATTTGGAAGCGGCATCACCATTGTCATATGGGCTCTTTTGTGTAATTCCACTCCACATATCCAGCCTCGCATACTGAGTGAATGACGGGGCTTTCATTGAAAAAGGAGCCATGATGTTTTGGATTGAAATTTCGGGTACCTGTTTGCGCGTCTCAGCCGTAAATTGGAGGCTGAGTAGGGCATATTTTCAAGTTTCACATTCGGGTTTTCGAAAAAGAATATCAACTTTTTTTTTTTTTTTTCTGCGGCTCTCTATAAGTCAAAATCTATACTGGGCAAGTTACGTATGTGTACTAGGTGTGTGTGTATGCAATATGACCTCATTGTGTGCCTTGATGCGTCTTGCAATATAATTTTAATACTTAAAGTGTTATTTTGAAGTGAGTAGCGTCTTCCTTTGATCAAGCGCTCAGTGCTATTACTTTGTTCCACTTTGTTCCACTTTGTCCTCTCTCATCTTAATTCCACGACACATAGGTCGAGCAACAAAGGCAATGCTTGGCGGAGATCATCGTACGCAAACTGTACTGAAATTGGTCTCGTGCTTGTTTTGTAAGGTTGTACACTATTTTAGTTCCTGATATTTGTACACAGTCTTGAAAT